ATATATATATATATACATGAGTTTAATTGCTAATTTATTTAATATCTCATAACGTATACTTCTGTTTTTCAGGGTGATTCAGGTGGTCCGTTAATGGTGAACAATTTTGGAATCTGGTATCTAATTGGAGTTGTATCTGCTGGCTACTCTTGTGCGAAACAACACCAACCTGGAATTTATCACCGAATCAGTAGTTCTTCTGATTGGATATCAGCGAACATGGTTTAAATGCTTATATAGATATATATAAAATACATGTTTGAGGGCCCTCATAGTCGTAGGTATCAGGTGACTGCAGGCAGATATGATGGCCTACTTTACGTTACAAAGCATACATGGTTTGGAGATTTATTTGAAGTGGATTCGAAAGTTACATTTCTGTGATTGCTTTGTCAATTTTTCAGTTTTAGTAAATATAATTTAACATTTTAAATCACCAAAATAAATTTTATAAGATGGATTGACTTTCTAGATGTATTATGGAAGCTTATATCACCAAATATAGTTCAATCGTTTTTTTTATATATATATATAAATATAATATTTTAATTCTTTTATAAGTAATCGTTAATAGTTGTTCAAATAGTAAATTAGTAAATCCTGATGCCATACATGTAATAACGTAAGTGGCAATGTAATTACAGCCTTAAAGCTGACCCTAAAAGATATTTAACACAACGTTTATACGGCGGCTGTAAGTTTTAATTTTTTTCTTGAATAACATGACATTTTCTGAACAGTTGCTTGAGAAAAATCAGTTGACTTTTTATATTAGCTAGCTTATGACCTATTGTAATTAACTTCACGAGACTAGGCTTAATGTGATTAGTCAAACTGACTAAAATACGCTTCAGTTTATACCTTTTAATGCTGATCTAAAGCATCTTTTGATCTGAATGTTCATCTTTATATTTAATTTGACAGTTTATCTTTGTATATTTCACTTAACGCTCATCTGGACATTTATCTGGTTATATAATGCGTAATTATTTATCAAACTATATCTTACTTGTTTGACGGTTTATCTGGCTAGAATGTGGCCCGAGATTTAGTTTGACACTTTATCTTTGTAGATTTCATTTAACTTTCATCTTTTCAGAATTGATCATTTATCTGGCTATATATGGCGTAGCTGTTCAGCAAGCTTTATCTGATCTGATTGACGGTTTATTTGGCGTACATGTGACCTGACTGCACAACTGGCTAAATGTGTTATTATGTACATCTAGCTATACATTGTTGATTGTATATCAGAGTAAGGCTTAACAGAAATTTTTATATACCTACGATTTTCATTCCCGTTCAAAGTTTGGTGTATTTTTAGTATATGTGTAATTGGGAAAACCTTAGCAAATGTAATAGTTAAACCATGGTTTTAATAAACACATAACGTAGTCTAGGTATAGTGAAAACGAGGCTAGAACAAATATATTGGCATTAACGTATAATTAGATGAATCCCCCGTCATCCTTGTACAATACTCTAAAAAACATTCTAGATACCATGAAAATATTATTTTCGTCTCCAATCAGAAGCCTAGAAAACTCATTGTTTTTTAAATAAATATAGTCAATTTGTAGCATATGACAGAAAATAAATTGATAAGAAGGACTAGGGAACGACAAGAGTTTGAAGGAGTGTCAAAAAATGGAAAAGAAGAGGCTTAAAACTCCCGTTAGAAGTTCAGCTGGAGAGATAGGTTCTAATGATTTCGAAACCGTCGCCATTTTTTTTCATATGAATTTGCATTTTCTTCCTTATATTTTCGTCTTCTTAAATCAATCTGCATTTTCTTCTTTATATTTTCGTCTTCTTAAATCAATCTGCATTTTCTTCCTTATATTTTCGTCTTCTTATATCAATCTGCATTTTCTTCCTTATATTTTCGTCTTCTTATATCAATCTGCATTTTCTTCCTTATATTTTCGTCTTCTTAAATCAATCTGAATTTTCTTCCTTACCTTTGAATATTATTACTAATATACTAAATATTTTAAGATGAACTGAACTACCAAGTATAAGACCCAAAATTCGAGCGCTTTCGAACAGTTGACTATTTTTCTTCAGGAGAATAAGTAAAAATCAGCCGTTTGGGGAACTAGTGGGCCTTGTAGAGTTACCCTAACTCTACAAGGCCTAGTAGTTCTCCAAATGGCTGATTTTTACTTAGCAGTTTATTTCATCTTAAAATGTTTACTACATTAGTAATCTATTCCAGAATTTATATGGCTCCTTCAGCTGCTGTAAAATAACTCAAGTGTACTATATTGTTAAAACTTAAGCTCTGGAAATAATAAAGCCCATTTCGTTGAACACACAGAAGTGGGAGGGGGTTCCTAATTTCTCTGTACGAATATGCCCATTTTTACGAGAGTATATTTCATTATCGAGCCCAATTAAGTTTATCAGATCAAGATAAACAATTTTTGAATACATACGTTTGCATCAATATGTTTGTGTACAATACTTTTATCTGTATTTGTTTTATTTACATATACTATCAACTGATTATAATGATTAAAAAATAAAGTTGTTTGGAGAAACTCTGACGCTTTAACCGTTAGTTTTGTTCGACTTTATTGGCTAAGTAGGTTTCTTTAACTTCCAAATATTTGCTGATGTCATTTTTCCTCGTGATTCTCCCAGTGAATTTTTTAAATAAGATTTAAACGTAATGACCAAGTTACGAAACTCATTAACTAACAGCTTTGACATTGTCAAGTAGGCGATTTCTGAAAGTCCAAAATTAGACGATACATAATCGTAACCTGTTTATCGTTTTTACAAGTGTGACAGTTCGTTTTAGACTAAAGTAAGCAAAATCCATTTTGAAATTAGGATAATAAAGAATGAAAGTTAATATTATTAAAATGTAATTTAATGTTTAACCCCTTAACTGTAAGTCGACAATTATTTTTAATTTTACTTTTGTAATTCATTCGAAAGTGGCTTAAACTTCAGTTTTACGGTATTACATTTTTTTGTACTTAAGTTTACCGATGAATGTCAAAATGTGCATTATTTTAGGAAACACAATTTCTAAAGTTGTGAGAATAAACTGCAAATACAAACGGGTGTGATTTTTTTATACATTCCATCTCTCAGGTATTCTCATGTTGAAAAGATAATTCCACGTTTTATCTTCTCCTACAAAACTCATCTGCAGTAGTGGTTAGTTATGTGTATTGAATTAAAAAGTTTTTTTTTTGTTTTTTGGCAGGTTCTAGGTCTAGTGTCTTTGTCTTGAAGAATTTGTTTTAAGATTTCTGTGTTCCTAATTAACGTTCATTCAAACTTTGACTATTAGTGTAGACACAGCAGGCCTGTATTGTATTAACAGTGTTTTGTAAAACAAAAGAACCATTCAAACTTTGACTGTTGGTGTAGACACAGCAGGCCTGTATAGTATTAATAGTGTTTTGTAAAACAAAAGAACCATTCAAACTTTGACTATTAGTGTAGACACAGCAGGCCTGTATAGTATTAATAGTGTTTTGTAAAACAAAAGAACCATTCAAACTTTGACTGTTGGTGTAGACACAGCAGGCCTGTATTGTATTAACAGTGTTTTGTAAAACAAAAGAACCATTCAAACTTTGACTGTTGGTGTAGACACAGCAGGCCTGTATCGTATCAAAAGTGTTCATTTGTAGAATATACGAATCAATTAAACTTTGACTGGTAGTGTAGACGCGGCAGGCTTGTATCGTATTAAAAGTGTTGTTTTGTAGAACAAAAGAACCATTTAAACTTTGAATAGTTGTACAAACACAGCAGGCCTGTATCGTATTAAAAATGTTTTGTAGAACAAGAATAAACAAAGCATTCAAAATTTGACTAGTAGTTTAGACACAGTAGGCCTGTATCGTATTCAGAGTATTGTTTTGTAGAACATACGAACAATTAATGTAAATAAAATTTGTTTAAAAACCTGAAATTGTTTTGATTTTGAAATAACGACCATCACTTTCAATTCCATTCACTTTTAATGACTTACACCTTTTCGTTACTCTAACTGCACGAAGCAACAAAAAATAAGGACCATAAAAAATGTAAAGATATATTTTTCGTTCCAATAAACAAAAATTAAATATTTGTCTGGCTGTCGTAAGCCGAACAGTATAGGATAAGTCTATGTTATATAAAAACTAAGTTTTGAAACTAAAATAGTTAAAACAGTAAATAAAATAAATAAGTAAAACTTTAATCAAGATTATCCCAGCACACAAATGTTTGTTCCTCACTGAAAAAACAATACGCCTCTTTACACATAAACCAACACAATTGTAAGTAAATTAAATTGCGTTTAACTAAAAAGCATTGTCTTTCCTCACATTAAGCAAAGTTCAATACAAGTAAGCGGTTAATTAAGTTCTATAAAAACTAGGATTAACAAGTTAAAATTGTTAATCTCAGCCAAGGGTGTTAATAGCCGTATTAAAAAGTTAAAATTGCTAATCTAAGCCAAGGGTGTTAGTAGCCGTATTAACAAGTTAAAATTGCTAATCTAAGCCAACGGTGTTAGTAGACGTATTAACAAGTTAAAATTACTAATCTAAGCCAACGGTGTTAGTAGACGTATTAACAAGTTAAAATTGCTAATCTAAGCCAAGGGTGTTAGTAGCCGTATTAACAAGTTAAAATTGCTAATCTAAGCCAACGGTGTTAGTAGCCATATTACTTCTTCTAGAAAATAACTAAAGCACTTGAGATGATTTAGAGTTCTAAGAGTAGTAGCGTTGTATTTGTAACACTAAGAGTAGTAGTGTTGTGTTTGTAACATCTTAGATATTATTGACCAGCCATTCCTTTGTGCAAACTCAAGGGCACAAGTAGCTGTTTTTCAAGAGGATTCTAGGCAGCGTAGACATTGTTTCTATAGTGGGACGACGTTTCTGTTTCTATACTGAGGTTTTCTTCAGGTACAACTCTAGAAAGTGGCAGGAATAGTCCATTAAAGCCAGATCTCTGGTACTAATACTATCTCGACTGGAGCACTGAAAACACAGTAACAGTGCTGTATTCGTAACATCTTAGGTAGGTATCATTATTGATCAAGCATGTCCGTATACTTCAGCTGAAGGGATTTAAAACCAGAAATAAAGTCAAATTCATCTGCAGAACAGCGAGATAGTAACGATTCATCTCGCGTTCTTCTTTTCTAAGGCTACTCGTGGTGTGTTAGTTGGGTTATTGTTAAGCGCTAAGATTCACAAAGTGCTGTCTGTGCTCTACA